GCCAGAGTTTCGACGTTTCGCCGGAGTTTCGCCAGTTTCGACTTTCGCCGGGTTTAGTTTCGACTTTCGCCATTTACTAAAAATAGTTTCGCCTAACAACACTACTTTGAACTAATCCAAAACTTTCTTTTGGGAGAAGAAAAATTCACCTGCTAAGTTGAACCTTATATATAAGTTAGTGCCCGTACGGTGATACAAATTAGGTAAGCATAGTCCTGCACGTGGAATTACGGAAGTACTCGCATGCGGAATTTATTCTCACATGTTAACGGATATCTCGTTATCGTTATATAGAAAAACGGAAAAAAACTTTATTGCTTATATCTGAAGACAAATTCCGCTTAAACTATCGATATTATTACTACCAAATCGCTAATTCTGGTTTATTTTTATATAATTATTCGAGGACATAATAGATGAGTCAAAGATTCGAAGCTATTATGAAATAATGAAGCTTTCACTTCTTGCTTCTTCTCTTTTAAAATTATCACATTCACATCGCTTATATATCCCATCCGCTACTTTTTTGCATGCTTTGCAATATAGATGTGCATTCGTCACAAACCTTACACCCACGCTTCCAACCCCCAAAGATATGCCACTTTTTGAAGTAATTTTGTTTATCTCTACGTGTAAATGTGTTATTCTGACCTTTCATTGTTATATATTGACAGAAAAAATATAACGTGGCTAAAACTTTTATTATACAAACTGTGGGGCACTTGTGTTTGTGACCCATTTACAAACAAATTATGTATAAGCCTTATAAGGTAAAAATACTGGTTATACGTATGTATATGAAATTTGGTTTTATAAAATGTTTAAAAGCGAATTTATGTAAATTTATTATAACATAATAAAAATAAAATAAAAGTCGCTGACCCAGAGGTCAGCTGTGTAACAGTTACACAATACGCAGTATATGTATGATTTTATGATTTAATGTTATCTACAATATAGTCGATGCTCTCCCAACTTAATTTTGAAATAGTTAGAGCCGAATAAGATTTAACCCGTTCCATTTTATCAATACCGATTTCAATGAAAAGTTCTTATATTTTTTTAGCTCTTTCTGTTTGTTTCCAACGTGTAGTATCATTAACCTCTTTAGGTAGTTGGTCTTTTACTTCTTTATCTACTTTACTTTGAGCCTTATGATCTTGATATTTTTTTTCATTTTTATAATAATTCAAGTGATCAGATAATTTTTTACCAAAATGAAAGCAGCAGTTTAAAAGCTTTTGACTTGCAATATCATTATTAGCTTCAGTTTTAACTATTTCTTTATAAAGATAAGTATAACTATCTTCAATTAAGGAGGAAAAATTAAATCTTTATTAACACTATCATCTTTTAATACTTTGATAAGTTTTTTTACTGTAGAAGATTCATCCTCTTTAGTAGTTGACTTCTGTCTTTTATCAGATTTATCTGGTGATTCTATAATATGTTTTTTTTATGTTCTACTTTCATAAAATAGAGGTCTTTCTGACCTAATAATGGTAATACAGCCATTAGAGAACCTAATCCAAAGTCATCACTTAATATTTCTGCAAGAACAGAAGTTTCACTAGACTGAGATGATGATTCAAAAAACCTTCATTTAGATACTACTAAATCAATGATTTTATTACAATTAGATAAAAAGCATTTGTTTTTTGTTGTAAGTAAAAATTTTTTTTCTATACATTTTCTATAATATGTATATTCATATGAAAGTATTGTAAATAATTTGAAATTAATAGATAATATTTTGTTTTCACATAGTTTACATAGTGGCAATTCTGTAACAATGATATTTTGTATTATATTATATTTTGTTTCTTTTAAAATATTCAAGATAAGATTTTGAAAATTAGTAAGAGACATAATAATGATGAGTTATCAGATAAGTTTTTAATAATGAAATTACTTATATTTAGCTTTTTTATATAGTTTATTTCTCATGATTAACAAAACTAATTTGCAGATTCTATTAAGTTAATTTCAGATTTGGCAATTTGTTCATTCATGAATTAATTAGTATGAGTCAAGAGAGTCAAAGTTTTGATTTAAAGGAATATTGCTAGATCTTTGGTAGCAATTGCAGATGATTTTTAGCTTATAGGTAAGCATGGTTGGTATATTCATGAGTTTCTCTAAAGTTAAATCAGGTCTTGAAGAAATCTGCCTCTCAATTACAGATAAAAATAAACAGTTTTTTTAGGAATTAATAACAGACCAGGAGGAGTTGATTGATATTGTAATAAATGAGTATCAATTTTTACTTTATCACAGACATAACTATAAGGGCAAAAAATTAATACATATAATGTAAATATATATATGTACTGAAAAAAGTGCTAAGAAAGTATTGATAAAGATACTTTTATCGAAAATATTATTTAGAAAAGTTTTAGTCTACATCGAAGAATAATTCAAAGACCTTTCACTCACATTAGTTATTATAGTTAATTAGATAAATCATTATTCTGGAATGTGAATACAGTTGGTATGCTTATTTTTACGATGTTTTCAGATAGAAAAAACAACCTTTTTCTTTTTAACATAAACATGATGAATCAGATATTCGAGGCTCTGCCTCTTCTTTCAAAGTTTTATTAAGTCAAGATTATATCAGTCTGAATCTGTAGATTCTGAATCAGAGCTGGATGAATTAGTCTCTGTTTCAGATTTGTTGTGAAATATTCTATGACATTTCTTTCATTGCTTATTATTACAAAACAATATCTCTTCAAGTCTATCTTTAGTATTTGAGAGAATTTTGTTAATTATATTTATAACCTCCTCTTAAGCTAGACCAGATTTAGATTCTGTTGATTTAGGGACAAAGTCCCATGATTTGAAGAATCGTCTAGGCACATAAGTGCTATTGTTTCACAATATGGCCTGCTCTGCAATAGATAAGTTATTTTTAGTAAAGTTGACTTTATAGCTCAAAGAGTTGCCTATAGGTCTGCTATCTTTTTTGATTAATAGAATACTTATATTATCTATCTCAATTTTAGCATAGTACTTACAATTTTCTAAAGAAAATCCAAAGCTAATTTTTGTTTTACACATCTATAACCAATCCTGTTCTAACACCAAATCAAATGATGGATTTTTGCAAATTTGAAAATCTATTACTTCAGTACCATCTAAGCTTTGTCATTTTTCTTTATACTAAAATTGCAAATCTAAGCATTTTATTTCTTTGTTTATCAAATTATCATCAGATATACCTTCTAACTCATAATCTTCTTCAAGCTTATTATACGAGTACTTGCTAATAGTATTGGATTTAGATGTTATATCAATTAATGCTTTTACTAGGATTTTTTTCTTTATAATTGTTTTTATAAAAACCATATTAAATATTGCTAAAAGCAACTACATAGTAGCTATTTAATAATATATATTATAACTGAAAAAATAACTATATTTAGATAATTAATTTTAGACAGATATATTATAAGTTAATAATTTTGATATATAAATTCTTTATATATTATTTATTTCCTCTTTGCCAATTACTGAAGATAGTAAAACCCAAGATTCAACAAGATATTATAAACATGATAGCAAACTCTAATATTTCTTAAAGAAATTATATATTATGCAAGGCTAAAAGAAAAAAAGATTTTTTAATGATGCTGTATCTGGGTCTGACTCTGAATTATCTAGCTATAAAGTAAATATCCTTAGTAATGATGATAAAGATTTTATTGTAAATGTGATGAAAACCAAGAAGTATGATTAGTAATTGTATAGGTCTATAATATCTGATATCTTAGTATTTTCTTTTTTATATACTGAAATAACTGGCCTATTATTTATTACATCATAATGCTTAACTGATGAAACATGACCTATTTTATGCCCACATGCCAATTGTTATAAATATTGATAACAGAAATCATTCCTACCTTCATGTATTCTGAAAGCATGATCAGCCTCTATTTTTCTTAATATAAATAAGGTAATTCTATGAAGTTAATTTGTATATATAACTTTACTTAAAAAATATCTAATAAGTTTAATTATTATAAAGCAGGTTCAAAGCAGTAAAGCTGGGTTATAGTGAATAAATAAATAAGTTATAAACTAATCTAAATACTCTCATATAAGTCATAAATATTCTCAATTTTAGAAGTATTCTTATTAATTGTCTTAAATGTAGAAGCTAGGGCTTCGGGTTTAGGTTCAGGATCTGCATCAAGATCAGAATCAGAAGTATTACTCTTGGTATAATGTATTTCAGAATTATGATGATCTATCTTATGTCTTATTGCAACTCTGCTAAGGAATTTGAGATATTGCGAAGTTGGATTTTGATTATTATAAACTCTAGAAGCATGTTTATCTTTAATTTTCTTAATCTTTTGGCTGTAATACTATATGATTTTAAAATTTTACTAAATACTTCTGTACTGTGTTTTCCATTAATATTATAGACAAGATTGCATAACTTTTTAGTTACTATTGCATCTTGGATCCAGATAAGAAATTTTTTTGCATATTCTGGATTCTTTTCCATAGATAGAAATTGTCAAGGTTTGGGATTATTTTTTGCTTCTCCTTTATTTTTAATATACCCGATACAATACTAAGAATAACTAGACTTGTACCATTCAGGAGGATTCGATTCACTGAGTTTATAATAGATAATATGAAAAGTCACAACTTCAGTAGGTCTTATACTCAACATCATAATTACATCTGCAAGATCTTGCATATTAGGGATTTTAATAGTATTGATATTTTGAATTCTTCTAAGTTCTTCATCTAAGGAAAAGTGTTTGGGAGTTTTAGATGAATTGAATAATTACTGTTCAAGTTGGTTCTTTTAAATTTTGTTAAAAGCTCGAGTAACTTCTGGTAATTTGGCATATATATAAATTTGCTCAAAACCAATCCCAGCTTCTATTAACTCTCTACAAAATTATGAAACACAAGAACTGGCTGCCACAATTGCTTCATTTGTATTATTTTTTGGCATAGTTAAGTCTAAAGCATATAACTAAATATTCTATACATTTTTAGTTTTTGCACAATATTGAGCTCTTTTCTTGATAGTAAATTTTTTCTTTTTGTTGTTTGGAACTAGAGCTCCTATTTGATTTTCTTTGAATAAGCACTGATAGAGAACCTCTTTCATATCTTTACGAGCCTTCTAATCCAGTAGCATAGTACTAAATTATTGGCATGAGCATATAATTGAAGCAGATTTAATTCAGCTGATAGGTTATATTTATTGAAGACCTAATCCAAAATGAAGGTAAAGCTATTAGTTTTGGGTTTTCTAGTTTTTCGGACAGTTGCTATGATAAATATATAAATAATCTATATTGATAAGTAAAATATGATTATAGATTAACCTACTTATTTTTTTTTAATTCGAAATTAATTATGCTTTTTCCTCTTATACCAGAAAAAAGAGTTTATGTATATCTATAAGATAAGTAGAATATCAATTTGAAATTTACTAACATATAAGATATAACAAAAAAAAATCATGTAGTGACTCAGGCTATATTAAGGTTTATGATTTATTTTATTTTTTATTGCAGTGTTTTCATTATAGCAAGTATATGTTCTGGATCTAAAGCATCTGCTTTACTGAATGCATCATACAAAGCATTCAGTTTATATTTTGATAAAGTTAAATTTGGATGATAGAAGAATCTTGCAAGTATATCATTTCTTCATTTCTGAGTTTCTCTATGATTCTAACACATTTCTAATAATTGAGATAAGTTATATCCAGAGTATCCTATCTGAATCAGATTATATAATGCAGTTCATCTATTTTTTTCTATAACAAATAGACACATTCCTTCTTTTATAACAGTACCTACAGAAATGGAATATCTTTTACACATATCTCTCATTTTTGCTAAAGTAGAAAGAGATGGGATCAAAGCAGAATAAAAGAAGTCAGCTAAGGGATAGATTGTACCATATTCATCTAGATCTATTAGCGAAACATCATTTAAATAATGTGAAAGGTCTTTAGTATATTTATAACCTTTACATAACAATTTTTGGAATAACTTTCCATTCTTTTTAATCCAATGACCTGTGGATAAGTTAAGAACTTTTTCTAAGATGTCAAAATTTTGGTCCTTCATTTTTTAATATAATATATATTATGAAAGAATAAATGTATTCTAGAATACTAAATAATCTTGTTAAAACTTTAAATTGATTTTTTACATAATTGATATTAAAAGTGAAAGGGTTTATATATATTATATCCTAAAATATTCTGAATAGAACATATTACTTGCCAATATGTTAAGAGAAATGGTACATTTTGTGAAAAAATTTGCACTTAGCTTTCTAAATATGTCTGCATTGGTGGATACTGGTAAAAAAAGCTTTGAAAGAGTTATATAAAATATATAAGAAACCCACCTTATCTTATACTGGCTATTGTGCAAATCATGTTAGGAGAATTTACTTTTATGAATATCGAATTAGGCACAAGAACTAGTATATTGTTGCCTCCAAATTCATATACATAAGCAATTTTGAGTAATACACAAATTCTTTTTATAAGTATTTCACAATATTTTTTTGATCTGAATTTTTATATCATTTAGTTGTAAGATCAAAAAATTCTTTCTATATTGAGAATCCTACCTATTGAAAAGAAATAACCTTTTTGAGTTTATAAAACTCACCTTATTCATTCCTTATTAACTAAGCAATTATTATAACATACCATTTTTTTGAAGTATGCTCACTATTTTTTTCTATTCTTTGTTGGTATTGAGCTATAATGAGGTAATTTCATCTTTCTTAAGAGAATGGTGAATTATTTCTTCATTTATTAATTTTTTCATACTGTTATGTCTATATATTCTTTAGGGTCTTCTTCAGCCTCCTTTGCATAATCACACATTCTCACATCAGTCTGCATTCTATTATGAAATACTATAGAATCAAGTTTATCTTTTTCAGTAATAGTAACAAACTTATCTGGATCCTCATCAAGCTCAATAGCTTTTTGCCTTAATTATATTTCTCATTGCTTCCTGATTTGATATCCAAGTAGATATGATATCTGCTAAAGAGATACTTTATTACTAGTTTTTGGTTCATTGTTTATAGCATTGTTCATAGGTAAGTTAGAAGAGATTTCAGAAGATTTAGATTTAATGTCTAATGGTTCTATGTGTTCGATCTCTGGAGTCATGAATATATCAATAGACTTAGATAATAAAGCAACTGAACTTTCATTTGACATAGAATCAAAAAAGTCTTGGGATGTGTTAGTGATAGGAGTAAGTGATATATGATATGGAACATCGAAGCTTTGCTTCTCTTTACTTTTTTTGATATGATTAGTAGTTAATAGTTCTGTTATCTTTTTTTCTGGTTTAGGAGATATAACAATTTTAGGTATATCAAATACAAGGATATCTGTGAATGCATTGGAGGATATCTCAGCTTGAGGTGTGTTAGAAAATTCTTTGATATCAATATCCGATTTGTGTAGTTTATTCATGATTTTGGATTGATCAAGAATATAGACCCAGTCTTTTTTCTATTGATTCGTGCTTGCTTGCATTCTATACTAATTGTTGGAAGAGTTTTTCTAAATTTTTTATTAATAAATAGATTTTCACTATTTCTTTTACACCAAATATGATATTCTTAATATAAATTTAAACATATTGAATTCTTAGTTCTATTTTTAGACCAAGATGAAATATGATCAATTATAAATCATTTCTGGTTTGGTAAATGTTTTAATATTATATCTGTTTTCATTTTAGTAGTAGGAATATCTTGTAGATTCCAATCTAAGATATTAAGACTGAATAAATAAGTTATAACTACATTTGATGCATCAGGGTACTTGAGTACTTTGGCCAAATTCTTAAAATATGCTATGTTACTTTTACAACAGAAAGATATATCAAAATATATGATATGCTGATCACTGATTTCTATTCAGAGTGGAGCATTATGATTACTTAATACTATAAATCTAGCATAATCTTTTATGACTTTTGGTTTGATACCTTTGCATTCAACTGTTAAATAATCTTCTGTGATAAGTGATTTAAGATGATCATTATACTTATTTCAATCTCCATTAGATATAACTATTTCATTCATAACAATTAGTTTACAAGCCTGAATACAACTATTAAAATGCTCTAATATTTTTTCAAGATCAGATGTTGTATAAAAAAGCTCTAATTCGAGGACTTTCTTATCTATAAAATCAATTAAGATATGTTTTTTACATCTTAATAAGGAATGCAATACTTGAATTGTTCCAGGTTTTTTAGATAGTTGTTGTACTAGATATGTATACCAGTACCAGAAATATTTACTAAGCTCTTCATTTTTATCAGAGATTATATTTTTTGCATGTCATAGAATTGGATCAATAATAGCTAGATTAATCTCAATCATTAGTTAGGCTTTAAATCCTAGAAAAAGATTAAAGAACTTAGTATTTATTGGAGAAGTATTATTACAATAAAGAATTAGACCTTTAATAATTGCTCAGTCTATTAATGTTTTTAATTTCATTGTTTTATCTTCATATTCTATCATTTTGATTTTATACTTGACAAAATCCAGCTTAGATGCCATATCATAGTAAAAACTATTATTTAAATCTTCTATTTTAAGTATCTATAATCTTGAAGTTGTTTGGATATATGCAATAGTTGCTTGTATTGCTTTATAAACTTGATTATGAGTATATATTTCTTCTAATATGCACATATCAATTAAGTCACCCTATACAAAGTGGTCATTTGGATCAGAAATTCTGAGATGTTTTATTTTTTAAGGTGGTGGTAAATTTTTTTCCTGATTTTCAACATTCTCATTAATGATAAGTTTTAATAAAAGTTTTTTTATACCTTTAGGCATATCTTGATCTGCACAATAACAATAGTAATGATAGATTTTTTTGTTTCAGACTACATATACATTATTATTGCTATGTTATCAATTATATAAAGGGCAATGTGATCCTGTTATATGTCTTAAAGTAAATATATTTGGAGACACAGAAGTTGGGTATAAAACATCAAAATCTTCAATATTCATTACATTGAGTAGTTTCTCTATATAATCAACTTTAGCTCCAATGGTCCCATTATCTGCTTTACTATTTTTCACTATTTCTTTTGGAATTTCTAAGATCAGGCTATCTATAACTGTCAATTCATCATTAGGAGAATAAAGTATAAAATCAAATACATTCCTATTTTTGGAACTTAATGCTTTCTTTACATGTATATGTTTTCTTGTCTCTTCAATAAATTTTGATGTTCCAAGTATTTGTAATGAAAATAATATTTTATTTGTGATATTGTCAACAATTTCTTTGTCTTGTAAACCCACTGGAAGTTTTTATGAATGAGTTTAGTAAATACCATAACTTTGGCAATATTTTTAAGACACATTCCAAATGTTAAGATATAATAAGACATTTTTTTGAATTACTACTACTGACAATAGTAATAATAGTTTTGTTTCATTCTGAAAATATATCCAAACAAGTTTTTGTAAAAGCATTATAAAGTGTATTTTTTATCTTTTTAGGTGTAAGCTTGGGTTCAATTTTATTAAATTTTTCTCTAGATAAATCAAAATCAATAATAGGATGAAGTAGGTTGTCACTATCAACAAATTTGTGTAATGAATGTCCTTACCATTTACTAAGTATAGTTTTTATTTCATTTATAGAATCTGTACCGAGAAATTGTTTTGGCTTTATACTATCATTGTGGATTTTATACTTATATTTAGCAATACTTATGGCTTTGGCCCCTAGTAGTAGAACGTCCTGCTATTTTCTTCCTCTATCTCTGATATATGATCGATAGTTTCTTAGAAATTTTGAATATTTTGGATAGTTATATTACATTATTATTCAAAACTATAATAGCAGTTAGAGAAAAGTTCAAAATAAAAATTAATTATTTTAGGTAATTAGTGTTAGACAATATATACTACTTAAAAAAGATATTAGCAAAACTTTAGATATGGGATTTTACTATTGTCCTTATATTTTTAGAAGTGGAAAAGTATGTAATCAAGATTGTTATTGACTTGAAAAGATATACAATTCACTGAAATTCTTCTATCCATATATCATGTAATGAATATGGTTATGTTAAGTTAATATCTTCAATATATGAAGCATGCAGAACTTATGCTGATAAGTATCATTCTTAGGATTACTATTATTGGGAGAAGCTAAAGAAGATGGCACAAAATGATGTTATAAAAAATACATAGTAAATATATATGTAATATCTTAGTATAGCCAAGTGTCACTGAAATTTTTTAGTAATAGAAAATTTTCAGAGTCTAGATTTTTATCAAAAACTCTAAAAAAAATCGAATTTCTTTAACTTTTTTTCTTTTTTTTTATATATGAATATATTACATATATATATATATATATCAAAGATAAGTATATAATATATATACTATAAGAAAAAGATTTATTTTTTTCTTAAAATTTTACTTTATTTTCAGTAACTTTGGTGACAGTATATAAGAACAAAATAAAAAAGAATTTAAAGTCAAAATTTAATAATAAACCTGTCATCAAAGTTGTCATCAAAGCTGTCACCAAAGATTTTTTAGTAACAGATAACATATCCACTAACATGTATATAGCATAATCCAAATCAGGGAATACCACTCGAATGATAATGTAAACTTAAATTTGTCATTACTTGAATGACAATGCAAGCATGAATTGTTCATCACTTAAATAATAGAGTGAGTACTAATATATCTGACAATACAAGTATGAATCGTTCATTATTCAAATGATGATGCAAGCTTAATAGAGGTCAAAATGAGTAACTATAAAACAAGTAGGTAACGATATACCCATAAGTAGATAACAATATATACTCATAAGTAGGTAATAACCTAATGTAAGTAGGCAGCAATATATATAATATATTGTTGCCTACTTAATACATATTATTTTATTAAAATAAGTAATTAGAATTATTAATTTAATTAATAGTTCTAATTACCTATTTTGATAAAATAATATATATTACTTATAAATATGCAATAAAATTATTCAAATAATAAATATACTTAAAATTTTTTTTAAAATTTTGTAAAATTTTAACTTATTTGGGTTATGAAAACTGATTTATTAAATTTGTATAATCTAATATTTAGTTTTTAATTAATTTTAAATTTTAAAAAATTTGGCTTTGTAATATAAATTTAAACTAAACTTATACAAATTGTAAATCTTTAGTATAGATAAACATATATTAATTATTACAAGATTATAATATATAACTTCTTTAAAATAAATAATTTATATATATTATAATTGTATAATAATTTATATATACTCACCTATACTAAATATCAACCCAAATAGTTATTATGTCACAGTGCTCACAGTAACAATATTATGATGTGGACCCTGTTTGATGATTAGTCAAGATAGGATTTTTTTTATTGCTGCTATTTTTTTGTAACACACTGTATATAATCAAACTCGTATTTTGTTGGTACGTACGTACGTACCTTAAGAGTAGACATGTAATAATAAGCAAATAAAAAGCCTGTCTATTTATATAAAGCAATTAAAACTTGTTATTCTTATGTATCTTTTAGCACAAAAATTTCATTTTATTTTTGTTTTTTAGATTAATGCTATGAGGTATAGTAGGTACGCACATATGTAATTTTATCATGTGAAAATCCGTGTTAAAAAATCATGATCACGAGTTAAAAAAAAAATATACACGGCTGACTACTAGCGATACACAACTGACTACTAGCGTTAAGAGAATAAAAACTTCAAGTGTTTTTAAAGGAATCAAGATCATACAAAAACAGAATATGCTTGATTAAAACCACAATGGATTTGTTTTTGTTCTTGTGTTTGAGTAAATTCTTTACTAGAAAGCGTAGTCTGAAGTGCTGAGGATTTCTTTGTATAAATTTGTTGTTCTTTAGTTATATACTTTTGGCAATCAGATTCTTCTTTACTTTCCCTAGCTTGTGTTGCATAATGCTATTTAAAATGAATAAATGTATTAGAGTGAGGAAATAATAGTTTTCATTCAAACATTGCTATTGATAGTACCAGAAATTATTATTACCTCAAGATCGGGATGCTCTTGGTTATTTTTAGTGTTTAAAGATCCCATCTCCATTACCAAAGGAGACCCAACTTCACCATACGACAAAATTTCATCACATTCTGATTTTTTACCACTTCTTGATAAGTATTCTCTTTGCGCGATCAAATCTTGTAAGGCTTGCAAAACGCGAGTTTTTTCATTAATCCAATCTTCACATGACTGACACTTGTTGAAGTCGTCATTTGGATTACCACAACCACGACAAATTCCAAAAATCATTTTTCGACGAGCAAAAATATATACAGAAGTTTTAGAAGTTTTAGAAGTTTTTAGTTGAGTATTCATTTTTTTTTTTTTTTTTTTTTTGATTCGGCAATAAAAGATATTGAGAATAGTTTTTTTTCAGAGATATGAAACAAATTTTTTTAAAGAAAAGATTACGAGTTTTTATGGTTATATTTAAAAGAAAATCAAAATCATCAACTAGTAGTCAAATAAATAGTAAGACCGAGAGAAAGAGAGCAAAAATTTGCAAATAAAAGATAATAATTTTTAAGATCTTTAAAAGTTATTTTCGTTTGCAAACAGTTGGTTGAACATAATCAGGTTAGATACGTATTGTTACGTACAGCACTGCGTAATTTTTCGTGATGCGTGCGTTGGTACCTGCTCAAAATTCGTCAGAATGCGTCTCTTTTTAAAGGTTATTTAGGATTGATGGATTGATTTTATATATATATATATTTATTTATATTTATTTATTTTTTATTTATTTATTTTATTTGATTTAATTTATGAGCGTGAATTATAATCGTATTTATTAGTCACATAATATGCACGAAACTGTGATTTAGAGTAACAGTGTTACTATTGCAAGACCAACGAACACTCTTACAACGGTTAGTTTTCACAACCATAAATGTATGAATTTGTATGCGTGAATTATGTATGCATTATTCGTTCAAAAAATTAGTTAGTTTGTATAATTGGTTAATTAACTTAGTTCCATTTTTATAATACGCATTTAGTCACACGATACTAAATAAATTACTTTAAAAATGATATAATTTAAGCATAAAATTATATTAATAAACTATGAATATACCAATATTGGGATAAATTATATTTATTATTTAATATAACTTAAGCAATATAAAAGAATGGAATTTGGAAATTATATTGTATAAAGTTTATTGACGATAGGTGAAAATCTAATTTTTTTTATATCTTAATTTGTTAATAAATTCATTATCATTGATACACAATATTGTTTGGTGCAGGTTCTGCTGTTTTACTAAAATAAAAAGTTGGTTCCTTTTCCAGACGTTGAAATTCCTGAGCGAAAATTAATGTTAGTTTACGAGGAGGTATTACCTAATATAGAGTAGTTTCATCATTAGGTCATATTGAATTTCTTTGTCTAATTTGATATACAAAATAACCAATTAAATATGATTGTAGGTTATAAAATTCCTAAAATTATTACCCCTTTAACCCGAAACGCGTCTAAATAGAATTCTCCGGAAGAATAATAATTCTATATCGGAATAAATATGATAGGTTTGTTTTTTCTGATAGCAAATTATTTAATCTTTGATCATCTGTATTTTGATTTTCAATTTTATCGTTATTCCTAATTTTTTTGATGATTTACTTTAACGTAACACAACCCTCTATTCATTGTTTGTGTTTGAAGTTTAAGACACAACAGAAATCTGATTAGGAAAATACGAAATAAAAGAGACTATCCGAAAATAAAAATATTTTTTTTCTTTTTCTAAGAAAGTCAAACCTCCTTTTTATAAGGCTTCTAACAATAAACAGCTGTGGCTTCTATTATGTTAGATCATAACATTGCAATTCATTGGGGCTTGGCGAGGCATGCCAAATTATCTAGGCGTGTTGAATAGGATGATATATAAAGTTATCAGATAATTTGGATCGTACATCATTTTTTTCCGGCTAGAACGTGTTTCGCACCTAATGTAAAAGTAGATACTGTAAAGTAGATCACCTCAAAAGAAAATTCATTAGCAGAAATCAAATAAAAAGCGGATGTAAATATCAGCCAAGCCGTATTTAATCCGTATTAAATAAAGTGTTAATACGAATCAAAAATGAGGCAACGCAACATTTATATGTTGTTAGGCGGCCATTCTAAATGCTGTCTACATAATGGAGATCCAATATTTTTGTATTATAAAAATTTTCTTGAACGTGCTAGTTTGATAAAATATTGACTGGATCGTCAGCGTTTCAAAGCCATTCGTCAGACATTCTTTGCAAAGCCAGTAACTTTTCCTTTTTTACTTTACCCCTTGTCACAAAAGGTATAAATACTAAGCCTCAATATTAACAATGCGAAGATGTAAAAGTTTCGTTTATCGTAAATATTCTTTTTAGCCGCTTTCAAGTCTGCTTAGAAGAAAAAAAAAATTTCAAAATGTTCGACAATTGTTGCTTCTGGTGGGTTTATAATTTTATAGTATGAACCTTAATTTCTAGCATGTATTTTATTAGTTTCCAGTTCGATTTGATCGGCATGCTTCTTTATTAAATAAAAAACTTGGATAAATAAAAAGGAAAAGTGAAAAGGAAGAGAATTATGAGAATTATTATTATTTCCATAAAACATTTCATTCATAAAATTGTTGACTTGATTTTTTTCTAGTATTCCTATTCGGGTTGGCACTATAATCCTCGCTGTTCTTTGTTTGGTAAGTATTATTACATAAAAAATTATTACATAAAAAAAAAAGATTTAATCAATTATCACTTATTTCACACTATTTTTTTCTATTTCAGTTTGTTGCTATTGGAGCAGCAGTGGGTTACCTAGGGAAACCAGAAGGTAATCAAATAACATGTATAAGACGCGTGTTTTTCTTTTTCCTCATATATATATATATATTTTTTCGAAATTAGTGTACGCGCCTGATATGTCAAAAGGTCTTACACTGGTTTTTGGTATTGCATACATTATCATGGCATTGGTCTCTTTCTTTGGGATCGTCGGTTCGTTCTTTGTAAGTTCTTTACTTTATTTCTCAAAGTCTTTGAATTTGATACTAACTTATGTACTTTTTTTTAATAAAGAGTGCAGCAGGAGCAGTCCGTATTTTCGCCACAATGTTATGGGGATTTGTCTTAGTTAATACTGTTATTTCCATCATCAATATCGTCAATTTAACTCAAAATAAACAAACAGCGATTGATAGATGTATATATAATGGTCAATCGCAAGTTAATTCCACAGTTTCAGATATAAATCAATCACAGTCTGGTACTCCAGTTGTTAGTAATATAGCTGAGAATGCAACCTCTTCTGCATATGGAAAGGTCGCAGAAAATCTTCCAGGTGTTTGTAATAATATAGAAACTGCGAGGATCATAGTTTTTGGGGTTATAGCAGGTGTAATTATATTATTTGAAGTAAGTACAATAAATAGGTTATTCTTATTATTTAAAAAATTTGGTAAATACGAAATTTGTTTATTCGTAGGCATATTTTGCTAGAGTGGCTTCTCGTTTCGCAGAGCAACTTGAAGAAAATTATTTCCGTAAACGTGATCTCAGAAATATTGGTAATTCATCTAGAAGTGATTCTACGGGATCTGATCCATACGCACATCATAAAATTTAATGAAAAAAACCTTACCTTAACCTATAATTTATTACACGTTAAAACCAACCTCTTTGGGACATCTTTATGCTCACTTTTTTTTTAATGAACTATGTATATATGAATGTGTATAATGTATATTTGTTATATTTGTTATATTTGTTTAATCGATTTTAATAATTTGTCATGGGCATATACGGTATTTTAATGTAGGTACCGAGAAAAGGTGTAATATTTAAGACAACGGCAAAGGACAAAACTTTTAATAGCGAATAGCTTAGATTTGAAAAGCTATTATTGTCGTAGTAGGCTTGAGAATTCATGGCTTGTATTGGTTGAATAGAACTTTTTTTTTTTTTTTTTTTTTTGCTGTCTTTACATTCAAAAAAAAAAGTCCAAACAACTTGAGCACCGAAATCACTTTTTCCTTTTTCAAATTCCTAGTCAGAAGTCGGCGCGACTTAACTGCATTAAGTGACGCAGCCGACTGATTTAATCTTGTCAAACGTCAGATTCTTAAGGAATAGCGATAGGCTCATCCTATAGTAAAAGCTTGAGTAGTGAAGTTTTGAGTGATCGTAGTTGAAAAAAAAAATGTTCTTTTTGTAAAATTTTTCCAGCACACTTAATTGAACATTTTATAAGAGTAACGAAAAAATTTTGCTACTGATTCATCCCTTGTGAATTCGTATATAGCCAACCAGAATTCCAGAATTTGTATATTATGTAAGAAGATTTTCACATTCAAATTATAACCATCCGAATCCTATATAACACGATCTCTTCTTCAAAGAAGTAGGCAAGATTGTATTTTATGAATAAAACTGAAAGTGTACAAACTTTTGAGTTTAAAATTATATTTATCGGTTAAACTTGCCTGAATTACGAATCAATTTAATCATAAATTTAACTCATATATACACTTGTATATACTGTATATTACAATAGATGTGTATAAAAAAATGTCATCAATCATAATTTTTTTTATTTTAATTACTAATAGTCAAAGAAATTTTTCTTAAGTCATGATGTATAGGCGTAAAATGAATGGATTAAATTAAAGTCAATCTTTTGATTAGTAAAGTAAAATATATTACAATTTTATTTCCTTTAAATCTAACAGAAAAATTCTTTCAAATGTTTTTTTTACCATAATAAATTTTCAATAAAATAAAATAAACGCTAAATTCAATATAACTTAAAATGCGTAAAATAGAATTTTTCGCAATTTCTTTATTTCTATGGATATCATGTATTGATAGTCTTGCGATTGGTAAGTTTTACCTTAAAATTATACAAGCCTTTAAATCGTGTTTTTTTTTTACCTGCGCTCTCATCTATTCCATGGTTTTTATACTGAAGCTCATGAAAATGTTGTGACAGTAATTGAACGTGTTACCAATGTTGTGACAGTTTACGTTCCAGTCACGGCAAAGTCTCTGCCCTTTAGTCAACAAGAAGTGGCACGGTTTACGCAAATAGCATCAAATAATAAGGTATTACAATATAAGTATAAACGAAAATTTGACTATCGTTAAATTTAATCTGCCTTTATTATTAGGTGCCGCAGAATTCACTCTTTGTTTCAAGTGTTGAATCGCCCTCAAAGATTTTAAACATTCCATCTACTCCCACAATCTCAGCTGCATCCATTCCAACCATAAACTTCGGCACTACCAAAAACATTCCGGCCACCTCCATCGATACCATCAAAAACATTCCGGCCACCTCCATCGATACCATCAAAAACATTCCAGCCACTACCTCCGTCGATACCATCAAAAACATTCAAGCAACTTCCGTCGACACCATAAAGATCATTTCAACCACTCCCATTGAAACTACAACCGCCATCCCCATTAGTACCACTGCGAACATTCCATTCACTTCCATCGCCACCAATACAGTTAAAGCTACCACTTTAAAACCAACTACATCTATACAAATGATGACCACGGCACCGGTCACAATTCAAATGTTAACCACACCAACTACTAATTCACTTCCGAAAACACAATTGACAAATAGTGCTCCCTCAATAGCTAACACAGTGACTTCAAAAGTAATGTCTGTCTCGCGTACTCGTTCAACTTATAATCAACATCCTAAACCCAGTACTACCGCTTCCGTTAGTCGTCCTTCTTCGAATACTGTTAGGATAGAATCTATGTTTTGGTCCTTACTAGTAGCTGTTGCGATTTGTATTTTTGTTTTCGGAATGGTTTAATGGGTAATTAAGATGGGAATCTATTTATCTTGTCGTTATTATTGTTATGATTTGATTTATTTAACAAGATTAAAAGTAATTATATACATTTCTATAATAATTAAAAAAAAAATCAACACTTATTTTTAGAAAATACTGTAGTATGTACTTTTTGCAATATCTATTCCTTTCTAGATTATTTAAGTTATCATTTACTTTGATACTATAGTATACAGTCAACACTCTCTATTCCGACAAAAATGTTCGTTAAGGATTTTTATATGTAAAAATTTTTAGGAGTTCCTGAACTTTATAATAAAATTTACAAATGTTCTGGAGTTTTTTGGTCAGTTCTCAAAGAATTTAATAAGGTTCAGATCAGATTGTGTTGACTGTATACTTTTGCATTAATATAACACAAGAATAAAGATTCTTTATATATATATTGGCTTAAACTGCTAGTATATCTAGTTATATACGTTTAAAGTACAACCCTTTATTCATAAATATTTTTAAAATGTTTAACATTAGTGAGAACTGATTTGGGTCAGTACACAGCAAAATGAGGTTTAGAGACATTCTAACGGTTATTGAGATTTTTATTACACTATGTTCCTAACCATGTAAATTATTTATAATAAACTTCTTAATTAATGTTAGGATATTAAAATTTTTTATAATTTTATACGCAGTATTTTTTATTTAAACGATACTTCTACTCTAAAAAGGAATTTATAAAGGGCAAATATGTACCGGTATGTAGCATATGCATTTACAGCAAAGTTAAAAAAAATCCATTTGGGTTGTTGTCCAGCAAAACCATGCTTAGAGTATATATTTTTTATATACTCTAAGCATGGTGTTGCTGGACAACAACCCATTTACGATTAATTTTCATCACACTTACCCAGAGCAAAGCACAGTTCATTTTTGTAAGGATCGTGTATATATGGTCGAATATCTTTAAATAGTTGTGTTTGACGTTTTAAAGATAAAGGTTTTAGAGGAATTATATTTAAAGATTGGTATGGGTCAAAATAAACACTATTACGAATTATTTTTTCTTTTTTTAAGGGTAGAGAGTACATAGATCATTTTTATATAGTTTTATATGGTATTTTGAAATTTTCATATAAAATTGAAATATACTACTTATAAAACTTTTTTAAATTACAA